CTGCCAACCTATGTTCTCATTCAAGCTCATTATTGGGGGGTGGAAAACAAAACACGTACTATTTTCATTAGCCACCTTATCATGGGCCCAATCCTGACACTCACGGGAGGTCCTGTACCTGTCAGGGATTCTACTCACATGAGCAAGCACTGCTTGTAGGACCAGGACCTAATATTAAAGATGATGAGGGCTTTTCATTATCACCAGCTGGATGTGTCAGCGCCCCAAAGAGAGACTTCTCTTCGAGCCCATCAACAGCCTTAGCAATGTGTCCTATGCTTTCAAGCAAGGCATCTTCCTTCCCACTCCTAGCCCCTGCTGTGCAGTGTGACCTGGAGAAACCTTTCCACAGGCCAGATGAAAGCAAGAATTAGGCAGCAGCTCTGGGCGATGGCAGTGCCAGGGAGCTCTCCCCTTGTGGGGAGTGACTGCCTGGGCCTGTCTGAGGTGAACAGGGTAAGACACACAGCTCATAGCCCTTTGCAGTGTCCTCCCCACAGACAAGTGCCTGCCACCAGAATCATCATTTGCAGGGGAGGATGCCATTTGAAAATGGCGCTAGAATGCCAGGGCTTTGGCTTTCCATCCCATCTCCTCAGACTTAAGTGCTGGCTCAGTTATTTACATTTCCTCTCTCGTGCCCAGGCTAGGATGGCCATCAGGACACAACTCCGGATTAACAAACACAGCATCAGACTCAGTGTTGGTACCGATGCCCCTCAGTGTAGGCATCCCCCACAAGGCAAGAGCATTGCAGTGATGGAAAACCCTCACACCTCCTGTTATGTCCTCACTCTGATTTTGGTGATGGCTGGCTAATTGTGGGTGGGGCATGTCCAGCTGGTTGGGCACTTTTCAACAAAATGTTCTTTTCCATAAAAGAAATGCTGATTCCAGCAAAGCATTGTGGTTTTGATGAAGGATCAGTTTTGACACGTTTCTTGACTCAAGTTTGGAAATCGTCAAAATGTCCAATTTTGACACTTTTCTAAATGAAAGCTTTGTTTCCTGGTTTAAAATGACTGTTCAGTTTGAAATCTAAGATTATTTTAATAAAAAAACTATTTTAAAATGGTTAAAATTTAAACAAAATAGAAAAGATCAAAACAAGTGCAATTGACCTGAATCTCTTTTTCCTTCAGATTTTCAGTTCATGAACCTTTTGTGAGATTTTTTTTATTTCTCATCCCAATTTGGGATGAGAAATAAAAACTTAATGAGTGAGGACAACCATTTCCTATGCCACTCTACAGGCTCATTCAGTGGAAAACTCCTGAAAAATTGGACATGCTCAAGTCTGTCTGGTGAGGGATGTCCCATCAACTCCTACTGGCCAGATTGAGTCACAATGGAGAGGACTTTCCTCCTGCAGTAGTGTGGTGAAATCAATTAATGGACTGCTTGTGGGGTATGTTGTTAGTCAATATGAAAATAGAGGATCCAGCCCTAACTTTCTTCAAGCTCATTTCTTAATAAATATTTCGTTAAAATGCCATCATTCTGGCAGACCACACCACAACTCAGTGTGAGTGCTCCCCCTGCTGCTTCTGCAGCCACGTTCCCACCTCTGGAAGAGTCTCAGTCATGATTCTGGTGCACAAAGGAAGTAAACCGAGAATAAGATGTGCAGACCAGTGTTTCCCTAACTTTTGAAATTGAGCCCCCATTCAGGAAAATGAAATCACTGGGGCCCCTGCTGCCATGTTTCATTAAAAGTTTGAACATCTTAACGTTTCATCTTCCATACCCCTCTCATCTGCAGCTAGTCTCATGTGCTGTTCCCCATGTGGGAAACACTGGAAGCTTTTATATGCTGTGATGAACAGTGAACTAACTCACCATGTTGACATTTTAAGTATCATTAGTGGTATCTGACTTAGCATATAGTGAAAAGAAGAGGCAGTTCCCACCTCCGAGCTATTGTTTCAGGCTCTCTGCAAACTCAGGCATATAGTGCTGCATAGGTTATACTCAAGTCATGTTTTCAAGGTTTTCTTTGCAACCATAACAACCAGATATTTCATTTAAAATGAAAGCTGAGATTAAGGAGAGCAACTGAGAGGTCTGTCTGTGCCTTTCTGTAGTCCTTTGCCCTCTCTACTTAAGCCGCATATCCTTGTACTATGGCTACTCGAGTCCAGACACTACAAGGAGCTATGCTGGGGGCTCGGTGTCATCTACAGAATTTGACCCAGGGTGAGCTGATGGTGGGGAATGGCTAATACAGCATAATACTTAAAGGGCTGTAATAGGAATAAAATGGAAAAGCTCCTGGATTAATGTAACACCAGGGTTGCACAATTAATTTAGTAAATGCAAAAGTTAAGGTTCCAAGAGCAAGTGTAATGCATACATCCTATATGATGTGGGGGCTATAGCTAACAACACAAACACAAATATTTTAAGATGGACATTGAAACGAAGTCCCGAACAGACACATAGTCAGCATGGCTGAGTTAATAGTGCTTTTGGACCCTTACTCTTATTCATACTGAATTCAGTTTTATGAATTGTTTTTTTTTTTAAGGAAAAAATAGGAAAGACCAAACCGAACGTAGCAGCGCAACCATGCTGAGATAGCTACACCTGGAACTGAGCAAGTTAACAGGTACCAGTTGGCTATAATCAGCATGTATTGAAAGCAGAAAACCTCATACACTCTGGCAGTGAATATTTCCCAGGCCTGGTTCACATGGTCAGAACTTTAATTAATTTCCAAACAGGTTTTCCCCCAAACATCAAACTTGAAGCCTGATCTAAAGCCCTTTGAAGTTAGTGGAAGTTTCTGGCTCGGGACCTTAGTCAGTCTCAGTGAGGACTAGGAACATGCCACGTTTCAGGTTATGAAGATCAGCTGTGCTGCAATGTGTGTGAGAAAAGGTGGGACAATTTTTAAAACCCTTTTTCCCATTAACACAACTCAGCAGAAGCAATTTCCCTCTGACCAGCAAGAAAATAAAACTCACCTTTGGGCCGAGAGAGGGAGCGCACAGGCTTGGTAAATTACATCCCCAGGGAGAATGTGTCAGAGAGCTATGAGCAAGCAAAATAGGAGGCTATAACTGAAGCCATTTTGCAACCTTAACTAAAGTGTTTGTTACCAATGAATGCGCTAATAAGGGGCAAGAATTGTCGTGTGGTCATGGCAGGTCACCTTCAGGGGAGTGTTTCAACAATAGCAGATAGAAATGTAAAGAACTAGGGTGAAAGAAAGAAGCCAGCAAAAAATGTTCCCTTTTTATATGAATAAAATTTTATTGAATTTTAGACAATTAGAAAGAATAAAGAAAGAGGAGTGAACAGTCTCATGAAGGGTAGAACCAGAAGAATTTCCCCAAACCTGAAGCAGGGCTGCCAAGGTGCAGCATCCCTTTAAACTTCACAGAGGAGTTGTTGCAAAAACAGAGAGAATCTGTTGGGATTTTTTTCACATTAGGATTTTCAAAGCTGCTCTTCCCCTCCAAGCAGTCAAGGGAGAGACAGACAGCACACTAGGAAAGAGATTGCTCCCCGTGAAAGGTGTGTAAACCAGGCAGCTGTCTGCCTGGGAGGTTTGCAATATCTGTGGGCAGAGTTGGGGGTGGGGGCAAATGGGGTGGTTGGTTTTTGTTTTTCTTTAAGCAAAGAAGGCACAAAATCTCAGCCAAGCTTCAAACCCGTGCAGCCCAGGCAGCCCTCAGCGCAATGGCTGTGCTCACATGGAGTCCAGGAGCCTCCCAGCAGTGTCTGTGTGATCATGAAAGGGATGGCCCCTGCAGCATCGGTGCCATATGGAAGGGAAAGCAGGGGAGGAGGGAGGAGGAAGAGGATGATAGTGGTAGATTTGTACAGCTCCCTCTTCCAATGTAGGGTCAAGGATAGGGACAGCAGCCTCCCTTTCCTAGGGCCCAGGGGGAGCCTCTGGTGCTTTAGTGGTGGTGGGGGGAGGTGTTCCCTTTAAGTATGTCAGTGTCAGCATTACGAAGGAGGTGCCTGTGGATGTCAGGATGCGGCTCCACCCTCCTTGAGGCAGTGGGATCCAGCCCCTTGGGCTCCAGACCCCTTGTAACAGCAAGACCCTCAAATGGTTTAGACCCTCAGCTTCGATTAAGGCTATTTAATCACAAGAGAAAAACTTGGCTGTATGTGAGGTGTGGCCTGGAGGCAACAGAGCACCATGCACATCTGCCAGTGTGAGGTGCCTCAGAGACCCAGCCACATGGCATGGAGGGAACGGAGCAGACAGCTAGGACACCCACCCCATGGGCCTGCCTCCTCAACGAGCCCCCTGCTTTCACTCTTTCTAAACAGCAGTATTTAAAACCAAACCCCGACAACCCCAGCATCCAGCAAGGGAGGAGTAAATATGGTGCCTCAGTGCCAGGGCCTCCCCAGTTCAACAAGCACCGTGCTAGGACCATGCAGGCCAGCCCCGAACAGCCCAGTAGGGAGAACCTGCCATGCAAAGGCCAAAGCTAAGCCCAGCTCATTGGGAATTTAAGCCACACACCTAGAAACAGTGCGGCTATTCAGCCACGGAGGCTTTTGGCCAGCCCGGCAGGAGCTGTCTGCTGCTTCCCACCCCCACTCCATTCCTTTACGCCTCTGAGAAAACTCCTGCTGCAGCAGCCACACATCCTCCTTCCAAGCGGCTTCTTGGGGAATGAGGCCCCGATGGCAGCGGTTTCCAAGGAGGCGAATGGGGCTCCAGAAGCATCCAGAACTAGTGCAGGAAACCGTCCAGTGTGAAGAGAGAAGGAAACAGAAATAAATAAATAGACGAACGTCCAAGCCCATCCCCCGCCCCTTCCGCTCTGCTCTGGCTGGTGGGTCTCTCTCTGCCTTTGCCCTTTGAAATCGGCCTGGCATGGCCAGCGTCTCCTCGCTCACCTCTCTGATTCCATCGCCCATTCTTGGCCTGGCGGTGGGCACGTGCGCAGTAGAGCTGATGTCCTTCCACAGAAGGCCCCTCCTTCCCCTTCCCCTTCCCCTTCCCCTGCCCCTTCCGGCTCTCCTCACAAACCCCACCTAACTCGGCCACTCCTCGGAAATCAAAAAACCCCAAACCCCACATCAGGTGGAGATTAGAAACAAACGAGCATCCCCTGCAAGGGCCTGGCACCCTTGGGGCCCCTCCCATAGCCTTGGCACATCTGAGAGATCCAGCTGGTATGGAGGAGCCCCCTGAGATCCCGAGGGTGGCGTGGTGAAGAAAGGACCATCTCATTGGTAGGTTAAAGTCTAGTGAAGGGGGGCGGGCACCAGGCAGAAGCACGTCTCCCCCTTCATCCCATTTCAGGGAGGAAGAGGAGGGTCTCTTGGCCAGATCTTCACCCCATCTGGTACAATAGCTTCTTGCTTTCCTTACACCCGCTCTCACTTCCTACACCAGGGAGCCTGCCCGGCTCTGGGCTGGCACCATGACAGGCACAGCCCCTATCCGCTCCAATGTCGCCTGGCTCACGGCATAGGAGCGTGTGTGCTGAGGCCTTGGCTTGCGGCTGACTGAGCCATTGCTCCTGGCCACCTCCTGTGGGGACGGTGCTGTGCTGGCTGTCACCACCAGCGTCTTGGGTGGAGCTGGGGATGGGTGGCCTCCGTTGGCATAGACAGGGCGAGCGTTGGTGCTCCCGGAGCGGGAGAAGGGCTGGCGCACGTCGTTGTTATTGCTGAAGCGGGTGAAGGAGTCTGTGGCATGATTGGCCTTGGGGTCGTTCCAGTAGCGGCTGTTGTAGGTGTTGGAGGAGGTGAGGGTGTCATTCTCCGAGGAGGATGCATCACCATGGAACGCTTTTGTGGCCGAAGAGCATTTGGGTGGCAGGTCGTCCTCCCTAAAGAGAGAGGGCAGGAGATCAGAATCCTGTCTGTAACCCCCTCATGCCCCTGACCTCCCTCCACAGAGGAGCAGGTGACAGAGCTGGGCACAGTTTTTCACACAAAAAATATTTTGGCAACAAATACTGATTCAGCGACGCTGAAACCTTATATGACTTCATGTTGATTTCACTGAACTGTTTTGCAAAATAAATAAATAAATAAATAAAAATACAAGGAAATAAACAGTTCTAAGAGGAATTCTTGTTTCAAAATTTCCTTTAATTTTATTTTAAAACTTGTAAAAATGCTCAAAATCAAAATGAAACGTTTTGTTTGACCCAAAATGAATTTTTTTTTAATTTGCTAAAAAATTTCAAACAGTTTTGTGGCCGGGGGCCTGAAACAAGCCGGGTTTTTTTCACAATTGCTAACTAACCAAAGAATCCGTTACTCACCCAGCTGTAATGGCAGCGGTGATCAAAGGTGCCAGGTGACAGATGCAGTAACCAAGGGCACCATCCTGTCCTGATCACACGTCATCCGTCATGACTCATCTTAGTTCTTATTAATTGTCCCACCTGCTAGCATCGTGCCACTGAGGCAAAGATCGCATGGGAAGCAGCTGTGTGTTTACGGGCTGAGGACGCTAACCAGGGACAGAGTCTCTCCTCTATCCCCAGAGCCCTCCCCCATTGCTGTTTGGTACCATGGCATGGGATTCCTCACTCATCTTACACCCACATTCATCCCTTCAGTTTTGAAATCTCTCTCCCCACATAGCCACTGCTGTCAGCCTCCATCCCCCTTGTGTAAAGACAGGGTATGCAAAGATCTCCCACCCCCATCGCCTCACCTACAAGAACTCCGACCTCCTCTGCCCATCCAGAAATTTGCTCTCTCTAGCATTTGCCTCCATTTTCTGGATGCAGGTGCTCTTGGCAGCCCCAGTGAACATCAATGGGATCAGCAGGGGGGGAGCGAAGATCACTCAGAGCCAGCTGTGACCGGAGGTTCATTGCCATCTGTCTGCCCTGAGCCCAACCTTATCTCATTGGGAATCTCCTCCTCTTCTTCCTCCTTGTGTTTGTTCTTCCAGTAAACCAGTGCCACAGCCACCAAGACAATGCAAACAATGAGCACAACTGCACCAGTGGCAACAGCTCCAGCAATCAGGCCAACGCTCCGAGGATGAGCTGTGGGGGACATGGAACAAAAAGGGAAGGACGAAATCAGGGTTAGGGTGCAACCTGGAGCTCTACTGGTTGGAGCTAGGGAAGAATGTGGTGGCCCAGACGGGTCTCCATCCCCACAGTCGTGGGCACTAGGGTCCTACCCTGTAGAGGTGTGATGGCTCAGGGTATACATGGTTACAATGGTTACCAGAGCAGAGCTAAACTGCATGGTCAA